GTTATAATCTAATCAATTTTTTTTAATCTATACCCATTATCACCAAAAAAAACTTCATCGGTTTTCCAGCCGTTATTTTTTAATGTTTGTAAAAAAGATTCAAAGTTTAAGTTAGTTGCCTCAAAGGCTTTTTTACTTAATTGTTTAAGGTCTTTATTTCTTAAGTTTTCATCAAAAGTGCTTGTTCCATTGTAAGTTAAGTCGGTGGGTGAACTGGAGATTAAATCAATTAAGGTGACTGCATTAAAAATGGATTTCAATACGTCGTTTGTGACAGCACCATCAAAGTAACTTACTCCTACTTTATTTTTGGTTTTATCGTACTTAAGTAAATACTTTTCATTCTCGTATAAATTTAAAATAAATTCAACTTCCCTAATATTACTAAAATTTAAATTTTTCACTTCAACACTTAACTCAAAATCAATGTTCTTTTTACACTTTTTTTTTAAACTAAAAAATTTTTCTTTTTTTAAAAATTCTCCAAAAAAAATTAAATTTCTGTTTAAATCCGAATCGCTGGGAAGTTTTTTTGAATTGATAAAACTTCTTGAAAGTATTGTTAAATTCGCCTTATTCAACACCTTAAAATTTGCTGATTTTAACAAATTATTGGTTGAAAGAAAATGTAATGGTGCAACGATAAAGAAAACAACAAACAAAAAGTTTGGATCATGCGAAATACTGTGAAAAGGAAAAAAGGAAAATTTAAAAATTGCTAATTTTTTTGTCAATACCTTATTAATCCAACTCCGCATAACATTCCTAAAAGATGTGCAACGCTCATTTGCGAGTCGTCCTTTGCAACTAAATCAGCTACATTTCCTGTCAAACTAAAATTTTTGGTAAAGGTCATATCTTTTTTTATTTTAGTTTTTTGATTAATAATTCTAAGTATAGTTAATAATTATATTACGAGTTGCGCCCCAAATCGAAAAATGAATACTACGAAAGGCATATCTAAAAAAATTTTGAAATTAAAAAAGATAATATCTCCATAATTCTTTTACCCAACACTGGCGAATATTAGAAAGTAATTATTTAAAGTCAAGACAGTAATTAGTTGTAGTGTTGAACCAAATAAACAAGAAACTTCTCCAACAAGTTTCCAAGTTTTGGGATGTGAGTCAAAATTTTTACTAAACTGTTGAATAAAAAACAACTTTCCTATTTCTCCAAATCCATCCTTCAAAACCCATTGTATTGCAACCGCCCCTCCTGTAGCTTCCGATTGAGAAAGTCCAATACTACTTAACATTGCTTGATTACACAGCACAGAAACCTAGCTATAAAAATTAAACTTTTTAAATCATTTTTACTGTGCTTCCAAGAAAAGTTTCGATAAATTGCCAAATATGCACAGTTGCATACACTTCATGGCAGGTATTAGGATATCCCACTGGTAAAAACTAAAAAAAAATGTTATTAAAAAAAAAATTTGTATAAATATTATTCAATAAAAATTTTTTTAAGAAAAAAAAACTTAATTTTTACCATTTGACTCCACCATTGAACGATTTTTTCAAAAAAGAATATTTTTTTAAAAAACTTCAAATTAGAAGATTGAATGACTTTCAAATTTTTAAATTTATTCCAAAAATTTTGTAAAACGATATTGGATTTTATTGTGTTATTTTTAAAAGTATTAACACTATACTTGGCATATAAATCTTTAAAAGGAAGATTTGAATTTTTTTTTTCCAATTCATTGTGGTCTTTAAAATTATTTTCATCTCTCCAAAAAAACTTCAGATTTATCTCATTTTGGTGGTTCAGATAAAACCTTTCCCTGCCGTTAATTACTTCTTTCAAGTATATTTTGGATTCAGTTTTTTGGGTGTTAACATTGTGGTCAATCTGTATTTGAGTCTGTTCAGATGGGAGGTTATGATACTGGTTAAAATGAGGAAGCAGTGAGGAAGATGATGTACAAAATCCACTGTCTCCTCTGAATTTCAGCTGTTTTAGAGCTGCCTTTTGCAGAGTCATTTTTTGTAATTTTTTTTTTAACACGTTGAAAAAATTTGCCTTATAATAAATTTTTTTTTTTAAAGTCCGAGGTATTATAAATTTTGAAACCAACAGTTTCTTCACCAAAATGATATTAAAATCACAAATTTGTCAGCTCAATTTTTTTTTCGGTAATAAGTTTGAAACTAAACCTTAATCCAATGAAGAACTTTATCTAAAGAGTTATTTATTAGCTGTTTTTCTATCGTAAGAAGTTTCTTTCAATTTTAATTATAATAGTGTATTGCGAATACAATAAACAAAAAAATACAAAAGTTACAACATTTTTAAAAAAATTACACAAACTAAAATTTAAATTAATTCACATTAATACTTTTTGATAATACACTGGCCGGTCATACAGTTTCCAATGGCGGAGGTGCACTTTCTTCTTCATCATCTGAATTTGATGCATCTGTATTAACTGAATCCTTTTGGGCAGCTTTATTCATACCCATTTGCGCCATCATTTGCGACATATCTAAAAAAAATTGATAAAAAGTTAACTAACTTTAAAGTTTACCTGGCATTCCAGCGGAATTACCACCCATCTAACCAAGAAAAAAATTTAACAATTTAAAATTACGTTAGTCGTTCAAGTTTTACCATTTTTTGAAAATCCATTCCGGCAAGATCATTTCGAGACGCAGGTGTATCCTCTTCCTCTTCATCTTCGTCTTTCCATCTAACAAAATCAGTTTTTAAAAAATGTGGTTTAGGACCTTCCAGTAACTTTGGCCACCAAGCGGCATCTTTTTCCTTCTTTTTTAGTATTATAAAAATTTCTCTTGGACTTTTGTGAAAAACAGATTCCTAATGTGTTATAAATAAATAAAAAGTAGAATCATTGTTTATATAAAAAAACAATTCAAATCTTCAACAAATTTTATATCAAAGTTAAGTACTTTTTTTTTTTTCTTCTTAATTTTTGAAATTTTGAAAAGATAAAAAAAAAAAAAAAATTGAAAATGAAAAAATACTTACATCAACATTAATTTCACCATAAAAATCAAAATTGAATGCATACATCTTATCATCACTTAAACAGGAAAAATTTAAAGATTTAGGTGTAAGGTCAAATTTTTGATCGCTAGTGTCAGAGAGATGAACCGTTAAATAAATTTCATTATCTCGTTGTGCCCATAATACTTCGGGATATAAGTGTGTTGGATTGCCGGTCATCATTTTTTCTATTTAATTTAATTGTTTTAAAAAAATTTTTTTTATTTTAAGGTTTTTTTTTTTTTTGATTTTGCGAAGGGTTTGAAAAACCACTCTTTTTCCTTCTATTTTACTCCAAAGTCGATTTAAACATAAATCTGCATGCAACCACAAATCTAAGGTCTTCAATTAATTTTAAAAAAAAAAAAGATTATTTAAGATATTGGAAACAAGAAATATAGTCGTCACGAATTGCTTGTGAAAGTTGCCTCAAAAAGGAACCCTCAAAAAGTACAGAACGTCAGCGCCTAATGCTCTTGAAAGACTAATTTTGCCTCTATTTTTAACTATTTCATTCTGCTTGAATTGTAGCCAAAATTTTTTATCCCAAAGCATTAATTTTTTTTTTTGAGGCGTCATTGAATGGCGTTCCTAATAATGAAAATAGCCAAAAAAAAATTCAAATATAATTACAGAAAACTACCTAAATTTTTTAAAAATAAAAAAAAAATTACATTTTCTTTTTAATATATATTCTACATACAAATGGGTTTATTTTCTAAAAAAAAGTCTGAAGCTCAACCTACTCAAGTTATGGAACAACCCAACTACAATAATTATCAAAGTAACAACTATCAAAATAGTATTCAATCAACTACACAGCAATCCCAGTCAGGAGGGCGATGGGCACAAGCTGCTCAAGCTGCTGAAACTCAAAATAGAGGTGAATACCAAAATGGTGGCTACTACTATGGGCAGTCAATAGAACAGGTTTATTTTGATCCTCATAAATTAAAACTTAACTGTATCTTTTTCTTTTTTGATCAAGGAACCTGATGAAGAAGAGGAGAAAAGTGAATGGCTAAGCAATAGAACAAGGCAAGTTCAACAAGATAGTGTTGAATCTAGTAGGAGAGCATTACATAAATTAAGGCAGGCTGAAGAATCTGGATCAAAAAGTTTAAATTTGATGGCTACCCAATCTGGTATGAATGTTTTTTGGAATATTACAAAAAAATTTATTGTTGCTAGAGCAACTTGCGAATGCTGAGAGAAGACTAGGCTCGGCAGAGCATCATATAAAATCATCTAACGCCAAAACGGATGAAATCAAAGCTTACAACAGATTTTTTATGATACCAACTTTTGGAGCTGAGAAAAAAGGAAGGAAAAAACAGGACAAGTTAAACAGGGAAAGGGAAGAACAGTGTATGGCAGAGGATGAGAGGTATGCTCAAACATCAACCAGCATTCAGCAAATGCGTGAACAGAGTAACAGAAGTTATGGTGGAAGTGAATACCAACAAAGAAATCATCATACTGGCTATTATACCACTCCAGATGGATTAGAAAGAGATGACCTGGAAAATGAAATAGATGGAAATTTAAATGAGATAAGCTCCGGATTAGCTAGAATGAAAATGATGAGTTTAGCCATGCAAACCGGCTTAAAAGAACAAAGTGATCAGATATCTAGAATTGGTGATCGCAGTGACCGCGCTAATGAAAGCGTAATTAGGGTTAACGGAAAAATGGAGAGAATTATAAGAAGAAACTAAATGAGGCTTTTTTTCTTTTTAATTTTTTTTTTTCAATTTTTTAGGCAAATGTCTATCTCTGTATATTATTTTTATACTATTTTTTTTTATTAATTTTTTATCATATTGCATTATTTTTTGGCTTAATAACAACTACTATACATTCACAAAAAAAGTATTAATAACATAAATAATTGATATAAATAATTTGAGAATCAAGGATAAGAAAAAATAATTTTCATACTTTTGTACTGAATTACATAATGTACACACCATTTTGATAGTGAAGTTGGGGAATTGGCGCAGTGGTAGCGCGTCTGTTTCGCATACAGAAGGTCGGGGGCTCGAATCCCTCATTCTCCAATATGATATCACAAATTTTTAATAAACTTATATTTTATTTTATGCTAATTGAATAAAAATTAAGAACAAAAAAAAATTTCAATTCGCAAAACAAAATTAAAAAATAAATTAAAATTTCAATTTCAGTAAACTCTTTCCGTGAATCATGTTGCTGTTACGGAAGAAAATTTCATGTTGCTGATATTCTTGTTGTTTTCCTTGAAACCCTCCGATTAAAGTAAAGGAGCGAAATCCTTTAATCAATACCAAATTGTTGCAAAAAAGTATGGAATAGTAGTAAATATTGAACCCATAAATAGCTGAAGGGGTCATTTATCTTAGCGCAAATGTATCAAAAAATAGTGTTAGTTCCTACTTTCATTACTGTTGCTATTTCAATAAAAAAAGTTGTTTCGAAAGTAGTTTTTTGAGAGAAAATTTGTTATTAAAAAATAACTTTTTTTAATTAACGAAAATTTTTTTTTATAAAAGAAAAATAATAAAGTAAAAAACTCCAATAACAAAAAATAAATACAACATAAAAAAAAAAAAAAATTTAAAATATTCTAGTTAAAATATTTTCATTGATAGAGTTTAAGTCGCTATGTAATTGAGATAATTCTTCTTCCCTAAGGTCTTCTAAACTTAAATCTGCCATAAGGTAACTCACAGGACCTTTGGAGTCTAGAGTTTGCTTTTCAATGTTAAAATCAGAGAGTATTTTATTAATTTGCTAAAAAAAAAAAATTTAAATTAACATAAAATATTTAAAAATTTTTTTTTCTTTTTACTTTTAATACTCCAGGAACATTATTATGAAAGTTAACAATCCTAACAGTGTTTTTCCCAACTGGCTTTTTTAAATCAATTTCTGGTAAATTAACTGCCCCCATACTACAGCCAGAGGTTAAGAATTTAGATAAAGCATTTGAAACTTCAACACCGATTGAAAATTGAGCTTCCTCTGTTGAACCACCTTAAAAAAGTAGGTAAAAAAAAAAAAAAAAAGGTTTTACCAATGTGAGGCGTAAGTATTGTGTTTGGACAACCTTGAAGTTCAGTATGAAAGTTTGGGCCGTTAGCAAATGGCTCGTGAGGATAAACATCAACAGCACATCCAGCAAGATGTCCATTTTTTAAAAATTTTGCTAATGCTGGAATGTCAACTACGCTTCCTCTACTAGCGTTTATTAAAATGCTTCCTTTTTTCATTAAACTTAATTCCTTTTCACTAATCATATTTTTAGTTTCAGGTGTTTCGGGAACATGTAAGGTTATGTAATCGCTTTGCATTAATAATTCTTGTAAGCTCGCTAAAGGTTTAGCGGTACCTAAAGGCATTAAAGATAGCGAGTCATAAAAATTTACTTTCATTCCCATTGCGTCCGCTAATACTGATAATTGTGTTCCAATATGTCCATATCCAACAATACCTAAAGTTTTTCCTCTAATTTCTTTAGAGTTGTTGGAAACCTAAGACAGTAATTAATGAATTAAAAATTAATTCTATTATTGAAGTACTTTGTTCCAAATTCCGTTATGTAATTCACTATTTCTATCACCCAATTGTCTTGATAGGGCAATAATCTCCCCTAAAACCAATTCAGCGACACTTCTTGAATTTGAAAATGGAGAATTAAATACAACAATCTAAAAGAACATAAAAAATATATATAATAAATAAATAATTACCCCTTTTTGAGTAGCAGCATCCAAATCGACTTGATTTGTACCAATGCAAAAACAACCAATTGTTTGTAAGTTTGTGGCAGCATCCAAAATTTCTCTAGTTATTTGGGTTTTTGAACGAATACCAATTGCATGAAAGTTTGGGATTTTCTGTAATAAAATGTCTTTGGGTAATGCCTTTTTGTGATATTCCACCTAAATACAAAAAGATTTAGAAAGTTAAGAAAAGGTAAAGAAAAAGTAAAACCTCAAAGCCTTGCTTAGTAAGAGAGTTTAAAGCATTTAAACTGACCCCTTCTAGGAGCAGGATCTTGGTAGGAGAGGAGGTGGTAGGACTAGGCATTGTTGTTTTAGATACAGTATTTAAAAATGGAAATAAAAGGTAATGTATTATTGATTTTGAAAGCTCAAAAATTTTAAATATTTAAGTGAAAATAAATTTAAATTTATAAATTTTTTTTTTGAAAGATTTGATTAAAAAATTTCCAGCGGAGAAGTTTCGCCTGATCACGTGACTACGATCTACTGATTGAGGCGCAGCATGTTAGGCCAAAAGTTGAGGTTTCAGTGAAGTGAGTCAAAATGACGTATTTGAAAGTTCAAATGCCACAGTTAAATTTAAGAAATGCTTAATCAATGCTGCAAAATGCATTTCTCGTCGAAGCTCGTGTTACAGGCTTGCATCACAATCATTCTCGAGCAGAGTGCGAAATGATCTTCCAAGATCAATATGAAGCTCTTATAAAATGGTTTGCAATAAGGAATGATCTGCATTAACTTAATAATTATTTGTTTAAAAAAATAAACAATATGTCAATAATATATAAAACAAAAAGAAAAAAATAAAAAAAAACAACAAATTTAACTTTTTTTTGTTAAAAAAACAAAACTTCGGAGTTTTAAAAAAAAATAATTAAAAGAAAAATTACTTGAAAATTTCTTAATATAATGATCGCATCAAAATTAACATCTCTTTTGATCATTCTGCAGTTACTGTCTATATTTAAAACTCTGCCATTAAATACAACACTGTTCCAAGAAACAACGATTTCAAGTTTCCAAACATTTGAGTTTCTTGCGATTGGTGATTGGGGCAGTGGTAGCGCTGACCAAAAAATGGTAGCTTCTGCAATGAAATTTTTCAGTGACAGAAACAACAACAGCAATCCTCAATTTGTAGTCGGCCTGGGTGACAATTTTTATGAATCTGGTGTTACTGATGTGGATGATTCTAAATTTAAAGTATTTCTAGTTTTTTTTTTTTTATTTAATCTTTCTCGTTTTATATAATTTTTACATTATAGACTGTATGGACCGATGTGTACAATGGAAGCTTAATGCAATTACCATGGTACCTTGTCAATGGTAATCATGATTGGAGGGGAAATACTGGTAACAACATAAAAAAAAAAGTTTTAAAATTGTGGAAAAAAAAAATTTAATTTTACAGATGCACAGATTAAATATACATCAATTTCGAATAACTGGAACTTGCCAGATTACTTTTATGACTTGGAGGTTTACGTTGGAAATGGTCTTACTGCCGCTTTTATATTTATAGAAACAAGTACGAAGAATACATTAAAAAATAAAAATTTTATTTTTACTAACTTAAAAATTAAAAAAATTTTTTTTTTAAATAAAAGATTTAATCTTTGGAGGAATAAAATATGAAGGAGAACCAAGCATGCGAAAGTTAGGTTGGGGAGAAGCAGACTATGCCCAAACACAACTGAACTGGATTGAAGACAGACTTCGAAAGCACTACACAAAAGATTATATAATTCTGGTTGGCCATCATCCTGTCAACATTTGCTTAAATGGAATGGGAAATGCAACTACAATAAACAAACTGGTCGACCTACAGCGAAAGTATCGGATTTCTGCTTATATCAATGGGCACACTCACAACTTGGCGTACTCAGTGATCCAAAACATCGCTTATGTGATAACTGGCAGTGGAGGTAAAGCTGACCCAGAAAAATTGCGATGCATGGAAGGTGACTTTAGTAAAGGCGGGTTTGGGTTTGTGCGTGGTTTGATTGACCAAACGGGTTTGCACTTTGAATACCGCAACGAAAACAACACTTTACTTTACACTAGCGCACCAGTCAAGAAACGTGCTCATCTTGTGCCACTTCATCTTCTTGACAAAATATACCATATCATCGATGACTTCAACTCAAAAAAGAATATAAACTTTTTTGGCAGTAATCGCCATCGAGAATTTATTTACCTCTTTGTACTTGGTACTACCTTAATCCTGTCTCCCTTTCTGTTCTTTGTAGGAGTTTTTTCAATAAGATTTGTAGTCAAAAAGTGTTTCAAAAAGATGTTATAAAATATTTTTTTCTTCTATATTTTATTTTGCAAATTGTTTATTTAATATTTTTTTCATATATTTTTTTTTTTTATTTAGATAGAAACCCTATACAGATTGAAATTTATTTATTTTTATTATTTATGAAAAACTTGTAATTATGTTTCAGATTAATGAACTTGTAGTGACAACGCAATACATTTTTAGGAATATGAAATTCAACCATAAATAAATTACTTCAACTACTGGATATCATGATGAAAAATTGATTTAAAGAATAAAAAAAGAAAATTATCAATATCTTCCAATTAAATATATTCAATCAAAATTTTAAATTATTTTTATATATATTATTTTTATTAGTAAAAAAATGCAAGATATATAATAATTGATATAAAATTATAAACTTTAAAAAAAATAAAAATAAATTAATTAAAGATTTATTTTTAAAAAAAACATACCGACGACCTCTACGACCACCCTTTCTTCTAGTAGAATCAGTAGGAACAGGAGTAACATCTTCAATTCTACCAATCTTCATTCCTGCTCTGGCTAAAGCTCTTAGAGCAGCTTGACCTCCAGGTCCAGGAGTTTTGGTTCCATTACCACCAGTTGCTCTAATCTTAATGTGTAGAGCATTGACTCCTAACTCTTTGCAACGAACTGCAACATCTTGGGCAGCCAACATCGCAGCATAAGGTGAAGATTCATCACGATCAGCCTTAACTTTCATACCACCTAGTTAAATTAAAAAAATCTTTTAGAAAAATAGCTAATTTTATATTTCAATAAATTAAGTTTGAAATCCTGTGTTGTTATTAATATTTCAAATCATTTCAAATATACATATATTCAATCAGCAAAAAAAATTGAAAATAGTGGCGTTTTCTAACAAAAAATCTTACCAGTAACTCTAACAATAGTTTCTCTACCTGTTAAATCAGTAACATGCTAGAAATGTGCAAAAAAATTTTGTTAAGTTGAAAACCTCAATTTTGTTCATACGACAAAG